TGCAGTCTTCAGGTTCTTGGGGCTGCCTCTTCTGCCCTTCATAAATATCGCCTTTCCCAAGGACACTGCTGGCACTGGCAAGTGTCGTTTCATAGCAGGAGGGAGGAGCGGTGACAACTGAAATAAATACAGCCGTGCATGGATCTCAGAGGCGTAAGCCAGCCAAGTGCAACATCGGAGAAATCAGTCTGGTGGATGTCAGCGTCGCTGGAAACTGACAACCTCATTTTCTTAAGCTGAAGACGCTGCACCGCAGACCCTCGACTCAGTCCAACTGGACAGGGAATGTTCACCTTCAAGTGGTAGTGTTGTTCTCAGCAGGGTCTCCACCCCTTTCAGAGGGGGTCCTCTAAGCTGCACCCCCACCACACACACTTCAATCTAAGCCAGGAGTTTCTGAGCCTCGCCTGTCAATCTGCAGCTATCCTTCCCCCACACTTTGGCGGTGATGGGTGGCTCAGAGGTAACTAAACTTCCAAATCCTGTCCGCCTTCCCCGTTACAAATGTGACATTTAAAGCCCCTTTGGCACAGGTAAATCACAATTACATTTTCAAGGGCCTCTGGTCCCATTCCAAATCTCTGAACAATCTGAGCTGGCAGTGGGAGGGCACACACACACACACACACACACACACACACACACACACACACGGCTCCAGCCTTTCTCACTTTTATTCTTTTTCCGCACAGCTCCTTCTCACTGCAGCAATCACTTTACCTGTCTTTCCTGCAATGCCAATTCATTCCCACATCCCTCCAAGACCCAGGAGAGCTTGGGGAAGCAGGGTCAGGGACAGAATCCCCAAAGGGTCACAGTCCCTTGAGGAAGGTGGCAGGAGGTGTGGAGCAAAGCAGAGCTGGGACGAAAGGCTGCTTTCAGTCTCTCTGGGTGAGCTCTTCAGGAACCAGGACCCCAGAAGGGCAAGCTCCTCTCTCCATGACCATTGCCATGGAGGGATCCTCCAAGCTCCCACTTTCTGTGATTTCAGCGTGCCTCAGACTCGGCTGATGGGTCATTTTTCTTGTATATTTTCTCTTGATTCCCCTCCTTCATGGCTGCATATCTGGCTAGTGTGAAGAGATAGTCACTGAGTCTGGAGGGGCAGAGAGAGAGAAGCAAACAGAGTGGTTTGAAATGAGAGATCAATGCTAACTGGGTCTTCCCATATCTGCCTACAAGGAGGAGATATAAATGACGCGCTCTGGGCACACTGTGCAGGGAGGGCGGGGGCCCACCACCTTGCACCTGATGGATGGCATGCGAGGCCAGCTGCTGTGAATGCCAAGGACTCTACTCCAATGTCAAGGCTGGGGCCATTCCTGCAGGATGAGGCTATTGCCCCAGCCCTACCCCAGAGGGCAGATGACTTTGGACTCCTCTCTGAGCTGGTTTCTGCACTTTTGAGTGATCAGGGCTCATGTGCGTGATCAGTTTGGGTGTTTCCCAAACTACAGTGTGCACAGGCATCACCGCGGGATCTAAGCAACGTGCAGATTCTGATTCGGGAGGGCTGGGCCAGGCCCGGGACTCTGTAGGTCTAGTTCCCATCCTGGGTGATGGTGACACTGCTGGACTAGGCCCTACTGACATTCTGGATCATTCTCTGTGTTCGGGGCTGTCCTGTGCATCCTGTGCAATGTAGGATGCTGACAGCACCTTTGGTCCCCATCCGCCAGATGCCAGTGGCACCCCTGAACCCAGTGTGACAACCGGTAATGCCTCCAAACATTGCCAAAGGTACCAGGTGAGCAGCACAGGCTGGGGCACTCTAGAGACCAGAGCCCAGTCCCTTTCCCGCCTCCTCCTTTGAGCCAACAGCAATGGGCCATCTGTGCATGAGGCCTTCTGCAGGGGCAGCAATGCAGGGAACTAGAGGACAACGCCACGGGCCCCACAAGGCACTTATGCTGTCAGCTCTTCTGCCTCCTGCTGTCCGCATCTTTTGCTGTTTCATTCCCAGCACTGGGCACCACGTTCCTCCCTCTCTCTCTGCTCCAGTCTTGCCCTCAGAGGCCAGCTCCACACCACGTCCTCCTGAGCCCTCCCCTGACTCAGGCGCCCTGAGCCCCACAGCTGGCTCTCAGGGACAGCGAAGGGGAGGTGGTTCGGGGTACTTTACCTCTGGGCCGCGTGCCCCTGGAGGGCAGCAGCGTACCTGTTGCTTGTTGGCTCTGTGAAGCCTCACTGAAGAGATGAAATGGCCTGTCCCGTGCAATGCTATGGGACCGCAAAGGTCCCCCCAGGGTTGCTGCTTTGAAGGTGAAATAGACCTGCTCCTCACTCCCGGTGAAACCCCACTCCCAGAAGGAAAGGGGCTGCTCAGGACCTGTCAAAGCCAGGCCATGTCCGTGGGAGGAGTGGCCAGTCAGGGGCCTGAGGTCACTTTCTAGACACCCAGGACAGCTCCTGGGGTGCAGACCCACTCCCCCAGCTCTCTACCTGCCCCCAGGCTCTGGCCTTGCTCACACTGGTGCCACAGGAGCCAGGGCTGGGGCAGGAACCAGCAGAGCAGGCGTTGGGCCAGGTGTGGCTCCAGCCTCATGGGCCAGCAGCAAGGCAGAGGAAGCCCTCCCTGGGCTAGCCTGGCTCACTGGGGCCTGCACGGGGGGCCCCTGAGCTCAGCTTGGCCCGGCTCTCTTTTGTTGGTTCACACTGCCCCAGGCCCTCTCGGGGAGAGGAAACTGGCTGAGAGAGGGCCTGAAGCCTGGCTCCCTGGTCGGTCACCACCGAGAGGCCTTCCCTGAGCACCCAGCCTCTAAGAACGCCCTTCGCTCCCGCAAGGCCACTTTGTACATAAGTTTTTCTTCCTGGTTTTTACAGCAGCCTCTCCCAATAAGATCTAAATCTTCTCGGGACAGGCACAGTGTCCACCTTGTTCGCCACTGCCTCTCCTGTGCCTGCCGTGGTGCCTGGCACAGAGCAGATGTTCATAAACACTAAGGGAATGAAGGAGGGGGTGTGGGAACACTGCACCACTGCTACTTCCCACAGACCAGCCTCGGCTTTCAGAGAGGGACCCCCAGGTTCCACGCGAGTACCTGTTTAAGAACTTGGCCACGTTCGCATCGGTCTCTCCCATCTGGACAAGAGGCACCACACTAGAAAGGGAGGAGACACTGAGTCATGTGACATTATGGGGCTTAACAGGCTCTGACCTGGGGCCTAAACCTTGAGCAGCATTTCACATCCCACTACCGCTCAACCTGAGCCTGCACAAGCTCAGCCAGCACTGGAGATGACAAATCCGTCACAGGTGGGTTTAAACAGGCCATCGGCCCCCTTTCCACGGGCACATCACAGGAGCGCCTGGCCAAGGAGGACTAGAGCACAGCTGGGGAGTTGAGGGAGCCGCCTGGCCTACACCACACCCCGGCCAGTCAGCCAGCTTTTGCACCATTGGACCTGAGTCTGGGTGGGGTGAAGTTGGGGTGGTCAGCCTCCAGCCTTCAAAGGAAGTGGGGGCCTGACCCTTAATTCCCAATGGGCTAAACTCTAAGCCCCTTGTACATCATGCTTGTACATCATGACTTAGAACAACTTCACAGGGGAGAAAAAGACCCAGGCAGACCAAGCTCCTGATTCCACAGAATTCTGGATTCCTAGGGTCCATGCCCGTCTATGTGCAGATACATTAGACACTGGACAGCCATCTGCTGGGCACCAGTGTGGTGGCGGGCCCTTGCTGAGCCTTTCCCAGGTATCACCCTGTGGCATACACTTTGTTGGCAGGCCAGCCACCTAAAGCCCAGCCTCAGGGTTCTCATCCCCACCCAAAGCCATGCACCTGGCTAGCGGCCCAGCAGGGTGTGCGTCCAGGCCTGTCAGAGTACCAGGCTGTCTCTAGTGGGCACCGCACACTCAGCGAGGAGCTTCTTCACCCGAGATGCCCCGGGCGCGCGTTCCCACCTCAGGACGATCTGCACCTGGCCACTGCCACGGCTGCGTAACTCTGCTGCACGGAGGGCCTGTCAGCTGCTCTATGCCTGTGTTGGATCTTTGGGTTGTTTCCAGTTTCTTGCTATTATGAGCACTGCTGATGGATGGCTTTGTACAAATGACATTTTTTTTTCTTTTGAAGCCAAAGCTTGCTCTGTTACAGGAGCTATTTGGGCCCAAGAGCCTTTCATAAAGAACAAAACCTTAGTGATGTGGGACTGTGGAAGAGCTCGTGCTTGGCCCAGACAGACGTGGACTCCAATCTGGATTCTGCTACCAACCATTTGGGGGACTGTGGCCACGGTGTCGTTTCTCTGAGCCACAGCTTCCTGACTCCTGTAAAGCGGAGGCCACACCACCTCTCCCAGGGCTATCAACAAGGAGTAAATGAAATTATGAACGCAAAGTACCTGTCCATTGGATCAAAGCAGGGCTTGCTTTCTCTTCTCTGTAAAGCAGGCTGGCAGCCTGGTCTCTGAGTGGTGTAGCTAGAGACTTTGCTCATTTCCTTCTACAGATTCCTTGAAAAGGCTGTCAGTAGCTTTGGGATGGTGGTGGCTAGTCTGCTGACAGCGTCCACCTGGGCTCCCCACAGCCGTGCAGGCCTTTCAGGGGCCTTATGCACCCAGAGGCCAGCAGGGTCCTTTCATGTCTACCCCTGTCCCAACATGGCTGGGAACCCAGCAATAACTTCCTGTTGTTCTCAGAATACAGGGCTCACAGCAAGGTGCAATTGTGTTGTCTGATAGTCCATTTGGTCACGTGTCACTGTCTCCACTCCACAACACAGTGCTCTGAGGACAGGAACTTGGTCTGTCCTGGTCCCCGTCTGGCACAGTAGAAGGGCCCAGACAGGGTCTGTTGATGTGTGGCCGGATGGCTCAGAGATGGCCCTGCTGTGCCTGCCTCCTGCCCGCGGTGCAGAGGCCCCTCTCCCTCTCCCCCTCCCCCTTCCCCTCCCCCTTGTTCCTCTCCCTTTCCCTTGGGCCCTCTTACCGTCTCTCAGCCCGGCGGCACACGGCCCGGCAGAAATGCAGCGCTGAGCTGATCTTGCCTCCCGACTGAAAGCAGAAAGGGACATTGCCTGAGCAGGGTGGGAAAGGTGTGCCCACTGCAGACAGCAGCTCCTCTGAAGTCCAGCCCTGCCCCCCAAACCAGGAAGCATTCTGCCTCCAGGAGCCCTGCCAGGGCACACCCACTGGGCACCCTGCTCCAGAGTGGGCAGGGCTGGAAGGGACCGGTGAGGACCTGGAGGGACTTGGGGAAACTGGAGGACAGCGTCTGTCACTGTGAACAGAGGGACTTATTCAGAGCCCATGTGTGTCTGTCACTGCAACTGCCTGCAGCCACCCCCAGTTAAGCCTGCCCAGTACCTACAGGCAGGATGAAGGCCGTGAGTGGTGGGAGCTGGCAGGTATACTTGTCGATCCACTGCTCCAGCTCCAGGATGGGCCCCGACTCGAACGCGGTGTACTCTGAGGAGCCAAGGAGCAGAGGGAACTACCATGAGGCCATCATCCACCAGACTATGGCGGGAACCGCCCCCGCTGCCCTTCCACCTGGCTGTCCCGCAGACGCTTCCACTGGCTCAGAAGGTACTTTCCCTCCCAGGGGCTACAAGCAAGGCTGACTGGCCCACCTGTGGGTCCCTGGGGGCCTGGGCTCCCAGATGGTAACCCCTAGGAGAGTCCCCTGACCCTAGGGCTCACAGGAGGTTGAGAATTACTTAAGTGAGCCTCCCGGGCCGAGGAGCGCGGTGTCGCCAGAGCCGAGCCGACGTCCTGCAATGTGCACTGGATCTGGGAGGCAACAGAAGGTGACAGTCAAGATCTATTTGGGATGGGCTGGACAGAGAGAATGTGGTTCCATGTGCAGAGACGCCACCTAACACGCCAGCAAAGCCTGTGCCAGCTAGCTCGTGAAGGGCTGATATGGTTTGGCACTGTGTCCCCACCCAAATCTCATGCTAAATTGTGATCCCCAGAGTTGGAGGTGGGGCCTGGTGGGAGGTGATTGGATCATTGGGGTGGTTTTGAATGGTTTAGCACCAGCCCCCTAGTGCTGTCTTGTGATAGAGTTCTCCCAAGATGTGGTTTGAAAGTGTGTAGCATCTCCCCCTTCACTCTCTCTCCTGTCAGCCATGTGAAGATGCACCTGCTTCCCCCTTGCCTTCCGCCATGACTGTAGGTTTCCGGAGGCCTCCCCAGAAGCAGAAGCCTGTACAGCCCGCAGAATCATGTGCAGATTAAACTTCTTTTCTTTATAAATTATCCAGTCTCAGGTAGTTCTTTATAGCAGTGAGAGAACGGACTCATACAGGCTGTCAGACCTTGAACTGGCTGACATTTGAAGGCAAACTCTGAACCTTCAGCACAACATCTTTGTTGGACACCCAGCCCTGCTGAGGGGGACCTGCTGTGGCTCTTTTGCAGTCTGAGGGAGGAAAAGGCTTGTGTGAGGGCAGCAGCCGGGTTAAGCAGATGACGCTCATCACATACCCAGGGACAGTTAAGAGGAAACGTCTAGGCTCTGCCCACGTCTCCCGTGCGCCTAAGCCCTATGAGGTTTTCTTCTTTTCTCAACATTTGACAGCTGGGCCAAGAGATCAAATGTGACAGTGCTTTCTCAACTCTAAAGGACAAGGAGCTTGGAGAATGTAGTCAGCCAAGGCGTTTGGGGGTTCTAGGAGCAGGAAGCCTGGCTGGGTGAGGCCTGTGCTCTGTCCAGGTGGGGGGTAGGTTTGCTTGGAACAGGCGTGGTCTGTTGGGGTCTGCTGCAAGGGCTCCAGGCCCCTGCATGACAAATGTCCAATAGCTCCCATGCATGTGAAAACCACAAGTACCACCTCTGACTTTGTGCCCACCCAGGGTCCACTCGAGCTGGATGGTGGGCTACCAGGAGGGTGAAGGTCTGCGACCTCTGACCTCTTCTAAGATGGCCACTGTGACAGCATTCAAGAAGCAGGCCATGGTGTGTAAGAGCAGACGCTGCCCATCCAGCACTGGGCTGGAACCTTCCTAGGGCTTCTGACCAGCAGACCTTGGGCAAGCTTGGGGTCCCTGTGCTTCCACAGTCAAAGCGGGAGTGGTAACACTACCCACTTGGTTGGCCAAGTGCAGTGTGTACCCCAGGGGCTGGACTGGCACCAGTGCAGCGTGTACCCCAGGGGCTGGACTGGCACCAGT